TCTCTTTCTTGTTTCTCCAATTTTAATAATTTAATTCCATGTTGTTTGAACAGGGTCAGTACCCCTAATTCTTGTTCTCTTTTTTCATTTCTCTTTTTGGATTTGTCATTGGTCTTGTAATTTTTTAACAGGACCTCCATTTCTCTACACATTGTCACATCAAATGTTCCCTCCGCCGGCCACTTAGTAACCAATTTCTTTGTTCTCTCTGCCCACCTTTTTGAGAGCTCCCCTATTACTTCCTTACAGGCTGGATTTTTAGAAGCTAATAATTCTACTGGAGTTGACATTTTTTTAAATTTGAGTTATCAAACTGCTCAACACAATGATCTATTATTATTATTTTCCCTTCAGTGATTCACCTCTCTAATCTCAGCGTTTTAATTACTAGCTAATCTTCACCAGGCTCATCAGACGAGGATCACTAAAAGTATTCGACCCCTGATTTCCACCTGGATTTTTGCTGGGCGGAGGACTTATCACCTTTTATAGAAGTTGATTAGATTGCCTCAAATATTTTAAAATAATCGCAATGTGTTTTCTGGTTAATAATTTGAAAGGTAACACAAGGCCTTTTGGTTCTTTCCATCGCAAATTGCCTTTTGTCCAAATTATGTTTTCTCCCAAGCTAAATGCCTCAAAACTCCACAGCCTCCTCAAATGAAAATTGCGACCTGTAGCCGTCACTCCTCCTTCCTCCCTCCCTCCTGTCCTGAATATTCCAATGTTCAATTCATCTGTCATACAATATTTTAAGTTTAATGGTTCCATAAAGTCAATTAATAATCTTTTTTCTTGTATTGATAGAATTTGTCTGCCCCTTCTTCCCCTTCTTTTCTTTTTCCTTGTATCAACAATTTCATCACCCATTTGATCCTTTTTTGTTTTTCTACTTAAATCAACTAATCAATGATCTCAACATCTGCTATTCTATTTCTTAATGTTGGTGGATTTCTACCAATTTCTGTCCATGTGTAATGGTCTACTTCTCAACACAATCATCATCATCAGTTGTCTCAGTATCCTGCTGGTTATATGTAATGCCAGTGCACTCCCCGTCTCATTTACACTAACCCTTATGGAACCTTTATGTATGGTATGCTTGGGGTATAACATAGACCCCAGACCCACTATCAACCATTTTTTAAAAACTTTCAGTTTGCCGCTTCCCATTGGTTGGCAGTGGTCCCATGAGACAAACCATTTTTTAAAAACTTTCATTTTGCCGCTTCCCATTGGTTGGCGGTGGTCCCATGAGACATACATCAAATCTGTTTACTCCTTACTGTCAACTTCTGGAAATCACCCAAAGTTCATTTGGTTACTCAAGTTCACTGGCACAATCCCATGTAAACCTCTGACACTGCCCGATGGAAGGGCCTTCATACATACAATCTTCATTAAGACATCCAGTATTGGGAACAACTCAACATATTGATTAGTATATTGATTACTTTCATGATTATACATAATATTTTGAGTAAGATAATACCACCCAAAGTTCATTGGGTTACTCAAGTTCACTGGCACAATCCCATGTAAACCACTGACACTGCCCGATGGAAGGGCCCTCATACATACAATCTTCATTAAGACATCCAGTATTGGGAACAACTCAACATATTGATTAGTATATTGATTACTTTCATGATTATACATAATATTTTGAGTAAGATAATACCATATTGAGTAAATAACATAATATGTAATAGAATTACACAATACATGCAGCTTGGTTTTCGCTGGCTGCGTACTGTCTTATCTTGTGTGAACACGCGGCTTATGAGTTTTCTCATTAGCTGCGTGTTCGTGTCTTTTGTTCAAGCACATGGCTTGTGATTGTTTTGCTGGCCATGTGCTTTTGTTTTGTGTGAGCACATGGCTTTTGTCTTTGTTTCTTGTGTGCCATGTGCTCATGTCAATTGTCTTGACCCCACCCATCTTGTTACCTGATTATTGGTTTATTTGCCCCACATGTGTTCCCTCGTTACCCTCCTCATTTGCTCTCTATTTATTGTCCTTGTGTTTGCAGTCTTGTGCCAGTTCGTCGTCGAATGTTCCCTGTCGTGTGCCTTGTCCTGCCATCCAGTCAAGTTGCCGGCGGTTTTTCCCCCTATGGGGAAGTTTTTGTTTGTTTTGTTTTGTTTCTGCCTTTAATAAAGCCCTTATCTTCCTACAATATTGAGTCCTCGCGCCATCCTTCATCCCCAACCCTGACAAAGTTACTATTAGAGTGAATAAGGTTTTCAATAAGTATAAATAACTGTATTGTGTACTGAACTCTCGGTTTGGTCTACACAAGTTTAAGTAACTGAGTATAATTATAATTTGAATAATTGTAATTAAGTTCAACTAATACAACATACACTATTCTTGAAATTTCTAAAGCTTTTTGTAAGTTTTTGAGTTTCCAACTTTTTTTTTTCAGCTTTTTTTAGCGTAGTGACATCAACTCAACTCCCCCAAAAATGAGATGCAGACACCAAGACAAATAAATACATCTACCCTAAAAGAATCGCCCAGAACAAAGCAAAGAAGAAAAAAAAACTCAAAATTGAGGGACAAGTTGCGCTACATGGAAGAGAAGCTTCTGGAGAGGACTAAAGAGACTTTAAACCTAAGGAAAAGATTGAGAAGAGGGAGAGAAAGCTGGGACTTGTGAACATGGAAGGCAGAGAGATCCAAAAAAAATCTAGAAAGAGTGGTCACCAAAGAATATTAGCCAACAACCAGAGAAGATTAATGTGCAGAATTGTTAGCCGCTTCTTTCACCAAGATGAAGTTTCGACTGTAATGAATGTCAAATCTGGTGAAATTCGAAAAAAGGGCCAGATATGGCTTTTGTATTTTTGAAGCACTACACAATAAAACTGTTTTGAACTTGCATGATTGTGCAAATATTATCTGATTTTT